ATGTTGCAGACATAAGAATGGATGCCACTCGCCCAGAGGTGCCGAGGCCAGGAAAGGGAGTGTGGGCTGGAACAGGGTCTCCTGACTCTGTCCTGTGCCCTTCCTAGTCCCAGGCTCTCCCAGGGGAGATGGCCCCATGACCTCTCACCTCACCTCCTGCTGGTGTTTGAATTCCCTGCCGATCCTGGGCAGGACATTCTTCCTTGTCTATAACCCAGATCCTCAGGCTTTATTGTAAGTCCATTTCCTTTTACAACTTCCTCAATAAACACAGGGCAGTCCTGGCCAAGGCCATTTAGAGAACGTGTCCCTTCCTGCTGGCATGACCATCTCCTGCCCTCAAGAGCAGAGGAGTTGTTTACATCCGGAGGCAGCTCCCTCCTCCTCCGAAACACTAAACCCCCCTCTGAACTCTTTCTTCCCTAAACCATGCACCTCCTGGATCTGAAAACCAAGATGGCCTTTCCCCCACCCGCCATCCCACTTCCCGATTCTACCAAAGTGGCAGGAAGCTGCTCACCAGTGGACAGATACATTCCTCTTCTGATACCCATTACGTCTCTCCTGGCATAAAGGTAGGCCAGTGGTTGGCAAACCTCGGCTCTTGAGCTATATACTGCTCTTTGGCCCCTTGAGTGTGGCTCTTCCATAAAAAAACATGTTCTGACACATAAGTACAGTGCGATTGAAACTTCGTGGCCCATTAATAATGTACCTACCTACCTACCTATATAGTTTATGTTTAAAAAATTTGGCTCTCAAAAGATATTTCAATCGTTGTACTGTTGATATTTGGCTCTGTTGACTAATGAGTTTGCCGACCACTGAGCTAGGCCGAAGAGGAGCGAGCAAGCAGGTAGCTAAAGACACGTGGCCAATCAACTCTCCTTCAGGCTGTGTGGACCAAAGGCGAAGCCCCAATGTCTGAGGTCATTTCGAAGGACCCCACTTGAGTAACTCACCACAGTGTCATGTGAACAGTTGCAGACGATGGTTCTGACCGCTGGCACCTGCGTTGCGCCATCTCCAATCAAGTCTCCTGGATCCCTAAGTCCCTCTTCTGGGCTGAGGGGGGGCACAGGGTGGGAGGAGGCCCAAAGGGACTCTCCCGGGTTGGGGGAATTCCCCCTCCCTTTGATCCAGAGAAGCCTGAGTCCCACTGGGTGAGTCACCTCACTTCCCACCCTCGGAGCCCAGCCGAGCTTCTGGCGGGGAGTAGGCGGCGGTTATAAAGGAAGGGCATCAGCCGCTCTCCAGATGAGAATGTTGTCAAGCTGCCGAGGAAAAGGTCTTTTTCTCCAGGAGGGAAAATATTCTGTCCAACTCAGAGGCTCCAGCAATGCCTGCCCCGGGGAGGGAGTGGGCCCTGGCGGGGCGCCTGCCTTCTGACACTGGCACCTGCTGTTCGGGCACTGATACAGTCAGCAGTCCGAAGGAAAGAAGACCTGGATAGGGTGCCTGGTGCCTGCCCAGGAACGGTGCTGGCCTCCTGTTCCTCCTGCAATTCCAGGAAGTAGGTTTCCTTCTTCCTTGTCCACAGATGAGGAGCTGAGATGCAGGGGACAGTGACTGATTCACGGCCACACAGCTTGGGGGGGCCGAGCCAGGAGCCAAGCCCAGTGTCTCTGATTCCAGAGTCCACATACTTCCCACTCCCCCAGGATCTGGGGGACACTGCAGAGGGAATGACGGAGAGGGGGACTCCAGCGTTGGGAGCTCCCGGCAGGTTCTGCCAGGCAGAATGGTACCCCCAGGGCGTTCTGGTGGTGCCCACTGACAGGATGGTAGGTCAGTATTTCTGAGGAGGCAGAAGGAGCCGTGCAGGAGCTAAATAAGTCTCCTTTCCCAACCCCATCCCCAGTGTGCCCTACACTGGGACTTCACCAGTCCCTTCAAGCCCCGCACATAGCGAGTGACTCCAGCCAGGGTTTGCCAAGGGAATTCACCTGGTTTATAGGAAGAAATTGCCCTTCCTCTTCCCCTCTTCAGATCCCCCCTGGTCAGGGAAGTCAGGTTCCTGCTGAATGTAATACTCAATGAGCCAAAGTATGCATTTTATTGCACATAAGTTAGACCTGATGAAACCCCAGATGTGGCCAGCCAGTATGGCTGGATGGTTGTGCATCAACCTATGAACTAGTTACTAGGAGATCACAGTTCAATTCAGGGCAGGGCACATGCTCAGGTTGCAGGCTCCATCCCCAGTAGGGGGTGTGCAGGAGACAGCCGATCAATGATTCTCGCTCATCGTTGATGTTTCTACCACTCCCTCCCTGAAATCAATAAAAAGATATATATATTTTTAAAAAACAACCCAGATGTGACTTTTTCTGGGACTGAGCATCCCTCAACAATTTTTTAATTGATTTTTTTAGTGAGAGAGGAATGGAGAGAGAAAAAATAAATTTGTTCTTCCACTCATTTCTGCATTCGTTGGTTGATTCCTGAGCCACCCTCAGCAAGTTTGATTGATGCATAAGCATCACAACAATAAAGATTCTACGGTACCAAAGGCTTTGTCTTTAGAGTCTCACAAACAGCCCTTTCCCACTTCCCTCCCCTCCCAGTGTAACCAAGGCCAAAGGTCAAACACTCTTTAAGAGAAAAGCGAAACCCAGGCCCAATGCAACGCAAAGCCTCAGAGCAGAAGGATGTGGGTTTAACATGAGGAGGAAACTCCTCATGGGAAAAGCTGTTACACCCTAGAATGGGGTGGTGGGTCATGGGATTCCCCCCTCTGCTTGGCGCTACTTAAAGCCCCAGCTTGTTGCAAGCAGCCCAGGCATGGAGACCAGGTGATGCAGGGAATCTTAAGTGATGGTTGCTAGGTTACAAGCTTCCTCAAAGTGCACTCGAGTAAAGACTAAAGGACGCCACCTAGCACCTGGCGGGAGGAAGCACCATGGGGGAAGGAGTGGGGGAGATGGAGAGAAGCCAGGACTTCCAGAACAAGCAATGATACCACAGGCTGGAGGGCATCCTGTTCTTAGTGTTTCCCAAGCATCTGAGTCCCTAAACCCATGGTCCTCACAGCGGGTGGTGCTGTGGGACGTGAGCTTTGGGTTTGAAAGAGCCCATTCTGGGGCCTATCCCAGTCCTTCCCAGCCGGGCTGCCCAGCACTAACAGTACGTCAATGGGAACACTTCGGGGTCTGGGCTCCTTCCTTTACTGTAACTGGACAAAAAGCCAGGTGAGAGTGAGAAAGCATGATGTCCTTAATCATGTACAATTCTTTCATTTGGGAATTGTGATAAAGTGAAAGGCCCCTGGATACAGATGTCACAAACTAGATGCAAAATGATGTCACAAAATGAAAAGGCTAGTTAAAATAGGGCACGGAGGCTCAGAGTCATTAAATAATTTCAGAGCCAGAATTCAAACCCAGGTCTGTCAGACACCCAAGCTGAGCGTTTTTAAGACTTGGCTGTATTCCAGTAGGACGATCACCCCATAGGCCCCGCAGTCCATCAGACCAGGTGGCCACTGCTGTCACGGGCAGCTTTGTTATTGGGGACAACTGTCCTGAAAAAGCTATTAGAGAATAATTTCAAAGGAATATTTTGGCAAGCCTGTGAATTGGTGCCGAGGGCCAAGATTGGATAACCCGGTTTCCCCTCCCCATGGGGGTGGGGAAAGATAGCCTGTGAGTGTCTCTACGGTGGTGCCTCTAGTTGTGTCCACATATCCGTGCATCTGTCAGTTCCTCCGGGGGGCATCTCTATTTGCAGGGGGCGGGTGGGGGTGGATGGAGGTGATTGTAAGTTCTGCATGGTGCATGCGTTACTTGGATGCACCTGTGTCAGCTCTGCGTGGGTCACTCCCACGTCCCGTGTTTCTATTAGGTTAACCACTTGATCATAGCTTCCCCCAAAGCAAAGCTGGCTACGGAGCCAGCCTGTCGCGAACTGGGTTTGTGTATTGTAGATGCACTGGGTAATTGGACTCTCCGCCTCCTCATCCAAAACAAACACATACAAACCGCCCACCCCCACACTGGAGGGAGTCTGGGTCCCGTCCCCTGGGTACTTGGGCCTAGTGTCCCGCTATTCCCAAGCCTGTAGACCAGACCAGCGTCTCTGCCGTCCCCCCCCCCCCCCCCCCGCCTCCCCGCAGCCAGGCGCGGCCGGGGCTTCTGTAAAGAGGTCACAGCTGCTCCGCCGCGGGGCGCACGCGGGCTCCTCCCGCACAGGTGCGGCGGCGGCTGCGGGTGGGAGTGCGTGGAGCCGGCCGGCCTCCTCCCCCGCAGCAGCAGCCCTTGTCCTTCCTGCTGTCCATCTATGTATTCTCTTCCTCTGCCTGCCTGACAGCGGGGTGCGAGCCCGGGAGGGACAGAGCGCCGCCGAGCGGGGACTCGGCGCTCCCGGTGATGCGCTGTTTGCGCCCCGCGCCACGCGGCTCCGCCGGGCTGGGTAAGCGGTGCGGTGGCGGGAGGCCGCGGGGAGGAGGGGGAGGAGGGTAGAGGTGGGGAGGAGGGTGGAGGTGGGGACGTGAACACCGAAAGGTGTTAACTCCTTGCTGACGGGGAGGCAGCCGGGCACCCCGAGCCCGAGGAAGCCCCGCCCCGCCCCGCGCCCCCCGCGCCCCTGCGCCCCTCGCGCCCCCGCTGGTTTCCAATCCGCCCGCGCGCAGGGGCGGAGGACAAAGCGTTCCAGGGCGCGATGCCGCCACGGGGTGGCGCTCTGGGCCGCGGCGACCGCCCTTTAAAGTTGGGGAATGGCTGGGAGCCCACTCCGCGGAAGGCGAGGGCCCGTGGCGCGGCCGCCCGTGACTCGCCGCGCTCCCCCCGCAGGCCCGGCGCGGACAAGCGGGATGCGGCGCTGAGGGCGGGTGAGCGCTCGCCGGCGGCGTCGGGGCCCCGGCGGGGCCGGGCGGGACCCGGCGCCAGGGCGTGGATGGAGGCGGGGAGAGGGGACGCGGAGTAGCCGGCGCCTTCGTGCACCCTCCCCTCCCCATCCCCCCGGATTCGCACCTTCGCCGGACCCCGGCGTTCCCGGCTGCCATGGAGGTGCCCACCGCCAAGGACTTCCAGTGGAAGCGCCTGGCGCCGCTGCCCAGCCGCCGCGTCTACTGCTCCCTGCTGGAGAGCGGGGGCCAGGTCTACGCCATCGGGGGCTGCGACGACCACGGCGTCCCCAGGGACTGCTTCGAGGTCTACTCCCCCGAGGCCGACCAGTGGACGGCCCTGCCCCCGCTGCCCACCGCCCGGGCCGGCATGGCCGTCACCGCCCTGGGCAAGAGGATCATGGTGATTGGGGGCGTGGGCGCCAGCCAGCTGCCCCTGAAGGTGGTGGAGATGTACCACATCGACGAGGGCAAGTGGAAGAAGAGGAGCGTGCTGCGCGAGGCCGCCATGGGCATTTCCGTCACGGCCAAAGGCAAGTGAGGCGAGGGCTGAGGGCGGGCGGGGAGGAGGGATGGGGAGACCACGGGGAAGGAATGGGGTGGGGGCAGGGGGATCCCATTCCTGATCCCATCTGATCCTTCCTTTTTAAAAAAAAATTTATATATAATTTTTTAATATATATATATATTTAAAGATATATATATAAAATTGATTTTTTACAGAGAGGAAGGGAGAGGGATAGAGAGTTAGAAACATCGATGAGAAAGAAACATCTATCAGCTGCCTCCTGCACACTCCCAACCGGGGATGTGCCCGTAACCAAGGTACCAGAATTGAACCTGGACCTGTAAGTCCACAGGCTGACGCTCTAGCCACTGAGCCAGTAGACACTAAAACTAAAGGCCCATTGGCCAACCATATTTTACAGATGGTGAAACTGAGACTCAGTGAGTGAAGGGTCTAGTAATCCCACATGATGCCACATCCCCACTCAACCTGGCTCCTCCTAACCAACTGGCAGGCTGGGCGGAAGGGGAGGGGAAGGGAGGGTGCAATGACTCTGCACACCCCTTCTCTCAGCAGCATGCTGGAGCCCACCATCCACAACACCATCCCCTGAAACTGGCTTGCACCTGCCACCACCTCCAGACACATACTTGAGGTCCTGGGGGTGTTCACACCATCACTGCCCCAACACCAGGCTCCCCTGAGGGGGCTTTGGGGCCTGATTCTAGGGCCCTCTCCCCACCCTCAGGCTCTCTCTCTGCCTCCTAATCTCTGAGCTACGGATAAGGGCTGTACTCCTGAAGCATCTTGCCCACCCATACCTATCATGGCATGGGTGTGCTGACCATGTGGTTTTATGATTCTCATTTCATTTTCCCCAAGCCCCTACTTCCCTTCGCTTCCCAGAATAGAGAGGGAGCTCCAAAAGTCCCTTTTGTTAAAACATAAAGGGTTTTGTGAGAAGTGGCCCAATAGGAACTAGGATAGTCCAAATCCAGACAGACTTAATGGGATGCAACCTTCCCTCCCTCTCTGGCAAAAGCATCCAGCTGCCTGCTGGGTCTTACTATAGAGTAGGCACCAGTATCACCTGGGCACCTGCTCTGTCTCTGCCACTGGTCTAGGTCTGGGGAGGAGAGAAAGATGAAGGTCTGGGCTCTGCCCTCAGGAACCCAGGTCTGACCAATGGAGGTGACCAGGGAGAAACTCCCAGTAAGAAGGAGGGCATGGAGGTCCATGCTTATCCCCAAGCCTCAATAAACGGTGCTAAGAGATTCAGAACTAACATTTATCGAGCCCTCGCCATAGGTGTTTTATATATATTAACATCTTTGATCTTCACAACCTGTCAGGTGAGGTAAGAGCGATTGTCCTCATTTTAGAGAGAAGCAATAGGAGGCCCAGAGAGGTTAAAAAACCTGCCAAGGTTGCACAGTAAGTGATGATGGAGTCTATGCTCTTAACTGTGGCACTGAATGGGTTCACCAATCTATATTAATAAAAGGATAATATGCTAATTAGAGTGGACGTCCGTCTGGACAAGGTGCAGTGGTTGCAAAGGGCCAAGGCTCAGTCTGCTGCAGTCAGCTGCAAAGGGCCATAGTGTGGCTATGAAGGGCCCAGGCTCAGCCAGCAGTGACAGCAGCAGTGGGGTAATAGGGGCGGCGCCTTCCCCTCATCTACCAGGTCACCTCCCGCAGAGGGAGGCCAGACAGCGGCTTAAGGCCAGGGGCCTAGGGAGAGACAGTTAGGGGCGATCAGGCCAGCAGGGGAGCAAGTTAGGGGTGATCAGGCAGGCAGGCAAAGGGGTTAGGGGCAATCAGGCAGGCAGGTGAGCAGTTAGGAGCTAGTGGTCCCAGATTGCGAGAGGGATGTCCGATTACCAGTTTAGGCCCAATCCCACCAGCTCTGGGATCTGGCCTAAACTGGCCGTCAGACATCCCCCGAGGAGTCCCAGATTGGAGAGGGTACACGCCAGGCTGAGGGATACCCCGCTCCCCATGCACGAATTTCATGTACTGGGTCTCTAGTTAATTTAATAAGCATTTATATGCCTGCTTGCCAGGCATTGTATCTGATGCTGGGGTCACAGATGAACTAATTCTCAAGGACCTACAATCTATTGGAATAACTAGACAAAGATTATTTCAGGAGAGTGTGGTGTCTAGACTGATGCAAGGGTCATGGAGGCACCGAGCAGGTGCTCCCAGCTCATCCTGGTGTTCAGGGCTCCCAGTGAGTCTGAAGGAATGAGCAGAGGGGACGGAAGGATTCCCAATGGCAGGTGTGTTTCAGGCGGCCCAGGGCTGGGAGAGGTGGAGCTTATGGAAGGTAAATTCATATATAATCAGGCTAGGGTTGGGGTTTTTGTTTGGTTTCGTTTGTTTTCTTCCCCAGGAGGATTAGAAAGTAGAAGGAAATGGTACTCATTCCTGAAGTACTCTTGAAGAACAAAGGCCTCTGAGAGTCAGACATAGGGAGGACTGGCTCCTGAGAGGTGGGAATGGGTCCAGGGAAATAGCTCCGTGGGGGGCTGTGCCCCTGACAGGCTGCAGGCGAGGCCCAGGGACCCATGGATGCCTTGCCGGTCCTCTCGGGGACAGTGGCAGAGAAGCGCCTTGAAAAGGCACCTGCAGCCCAGAGCAGTAGAGCGTGAGGGAGAGCTGCTCTCCCGGAGCGTCCAGCTCCCTGCCCGGCAGCTTCTCGAAGGGGCTGGTTTTCTCTCCTCCGAGCCTCGCCCTCATACACCGCGAGCTCTAGTCCCTTTAGTGCAGCATCTCCTGGAGCCCACCGGCTTCCCAGTTTGTGAAGGAGGACAGTGGGGAAAGGAGGGGGAAGTGCGATGGCTCTGCAGACCCCATGGGGGTGGCAGGAAATGGAAGAACCAGCATCGGTCCAGTGTCCCCCAAGGCCAATGACAGCAGGGCTGACCTCATTTCCAAGGCTCCTGCTAGCTGTAGAGAGCTCCAGTCTCAGAGTGCCTGGGCCAGACCACTTCCGGGGGGTATCAGAGCCACGTCCCTCCGCTTCCCATCCCCTCTGGCTTCTCAGGAAGGAGATGGAGGGACCAGACCTGTAGAGGATTGTCCACGTCTGGACTCCACCGCAATCTGCCCTACGCAAGGCCTGGTGTTTCGGGCTTAGCTAACGGCTGGACATGAGGTAGCTGAGGCATGCAGGAAAACCCAGGCTCAACATCAGCAGGGTCTTCAATGTTGCCTTAACCCTACTGTGTGTGTGTGTGTGTGTGTGTGTGTGTGTGTGTGTGTGTGTGTGTGTGTCTCATTCAGCCAGAGCAGTGGCCTGGCCTCATTGCTGGTGTTCAGAGCCTGGTTGTGATAGGTGATGAGCACAGGTGGGACTGTCTCACAGTATCTGTGAGCTGAGCCCGGGGTTGCGTGTGGCCTTTCTCCTTAGATTACCGAGTGTACGCGGCAGGCGGGATGGGTCTGGACCTGCGTCCGCACAACCATCTTCAACACTATGACATGCTCAAGGACATGTGGGTGTCACTAGCACCCATGCCCACCCCACGCTACGCGGCCACCTCCTTCCTGAGAGGTTCCAAGATCTACGTGCTGGGTAAGGACGGCCGTCTGTCCCGCATCAGGCGTTCCTTCCCTCCCTCCCTCCGGTCAGTTCCCCCTGAGAAGCATCTCCTTGTGTGTTGAGCATCTCCTTGGCACTAGGGGGAAAGCATGCCACCCCATCCCTCAGGGAGCTCCTCTGTGACGAGGTAACCGTCAGAGGGGGAAGCCCAGGCCAGTCCTGAGGGGCTCACTCCTCCGCCCATCCCCCACCCTGCTCTGGTCTCCAGGAGGACGGCAGGCCAAGTATGCAGTCAACGCCTTCGAGGTCTTTGACATTGAGACCCGCTCCTGGACCAAGTTCCCCAACATCCCCTGCAAACGGGCCTTCTCCAGCTTCGTGACCCTGGACGACCGCTTGTACAGCCTGGGAGGCCTGCGGCAGGGCCGGCTCTACCGGCAGCCCAAGTTCCTCCGGACTATGGACATGTTTGACATGGAGCAGGGTGAGCTGGGGGCCATCTGTCTGCGTCTGGCTCACCTCCCACCCCCTCCCTCCTACCCCCACCGCACCTCTCTCCCATCCGCACTCCCAGGACCGCTTACCCAGCTGGGCGAGCCTTTCAGACGCCCACACATCCCTCTCCATTCAGGGGTTCTTTTGGACCAAATTCTTTCATCCGCACTGAGCTCCCTTTGGTGGGCTGGTTTTGTTTCTATCAAAGCCTTTGCCACCCATTGTCTGTTCTTACAACATCCAGGCAGGGCCACGGGAAGCCTCGTAGAGAATCGGAAGGATCCTGACCCCTGCGCTCACTGCTGCTCCTTAGCATTTTCCCCAGCGCGGAGCCTGTGAGATCAGAGGTAGAACAGGTAGTTGGTTGTGGGGGATCACAGCTCCTAGGACTGCAGCAGACTTGGCAGAGGCGGTTCGCCACAGAGCGCGTTCGTTCAAACAGTGGGGGGCATCGTGTAAGTGGCGAGGAGGGCTGTTTGGGACTCCGTGTGTGTTCGGGGCGCTGGGGTCACGCCTGATTCTCTCTGTGTTCTCCCACGGCCTGCAGGGGGGTGGCTGAAGATGGAACGCTCCTTCTTCCTCAAGAAACGCCGAGCAGACTTTGTGGCTGGCTCTTTGAGTGGGCGGGTCATCGTGGCCGGAGGACTTGGTAAGGATGGGGCTTCAGGTGGGTACGGGGGCTCTGGTGCTTGGTGGATCATTGGCACTCTGCACAAGCAGGAGAAGGAGCTGGCTCCTTGCACTCTGCTTGCATCTGCTTTAAAAAAAAAAAATATATATATATATATATAGTATATATATATATATATATATATATATATATATATATATATATAGTTGATTTTTTTATAGAGAGGGAGGGATAGGGATAGAGAGTTAAAAACATTGATGAGAGAGAATCATCGATCAGCTGCCTCCTGCACACCCCCTACTAGGGATAGAGCCTGCAACTAAGATATATGCCCTTAACCGGAATTGAACCTGGGACACTTCAGTCCGCGGGCCGACGCTCTATTCACTGAGCCAAACAGGCGAGGGCCCGCCTCTGCATTATTCCAAAGAATTCACAACACTCCCTTTTTCCTAGCCTGGACTTCACGTGTCCATATGTGGGCCTGATGTAGTCTTTCTGTCCACTTATACAAGGGACACAGGACCATAGAGCATTAACAACATAGTGATGACCATGTAACTGGGGTGCTCAGGCCCCTGGGGGCCCTTGCCCAGAATGGCAGAGGCAGAAGTGGCAGGGATTGGCCTTGGTCCTCTCTGACCACGTCTTCTCCCCGGATTCCCAGCTCCATCATGGAATAGGGAGCAATTGGATCACACACATTAGTGTGATGAATTCAGGACTTGCAGCATGACCCTCCCTCCCGGAGGCAGAACCCTAGCAGCAAGAGGGGAGAGAGGTGGGCAGCAGGCTTCCAGGCAGACGGCGTTCACTCAGCGTGGGCAGACTCCAGTTCACTATCTCCTAAAAGGAGCACAGTGTGAGCTAGACCACGTGGGCTGCTTCCCATACAAAGCAGGAGGTAACAGTGTCTAGAAACTTCTGGTAAAAGCAGGAGATCGGGGAAAGAAAACTTACTCATGAAGAGATGGAAAGCAGGGAGGGCAGAGTGGCTGTTTGACCAAAGCTACTGGCAGGGAGTTACCGAGGTGGGGTAGGCAAGGGCAGCCAAGGAAGTTGAGGTTGCTTGGCTTTTACCAGTGGGAGAGAGGGAGGCGGGGTGACTGCAGGGCACGGATGGGTGGCTGGACTCCTTTGAAAGTTCTGGTTCCCTTTTAGGGAACCAGCCCACGGTCCTGGAGACGGCAGAGGCGTTCCACCCAGGGAAGAACAAGTGGGAGGTGCTCCCGGCCATGCCCACACCCCGCTGTGCCTGTTCCAGCATTGTCGTCAAGAACTGCCTCCTGGCTGTGGGGGGTGTCAACCAGGGCCTGAGTGATGCGGTAGAAGCCCTGTGTGTCTCTGACTCCTAGCTGTCCTGGGCCCGGCGCCTTCGCCCTGGACCGGATCACCTGACTCTGGACAAGAGGCGCTGTCTTGTCAAAGCCGTTTGGGCTTCTTCCCAGAGGCCAGCTCCTATCAGCAGCCAGTGAGGCCAGGCTCCGGGGCTTAAGTGACTTCGCTCCGCCTCCTAATCCTACCAACTCCCAGGAAACTATAGGAAGTCCCAGTGACCTCCAGTCCCTGGTTGGAGCTCAGCGGACCTCCAGGGAGAGTCCCCACTCCCTGCTCAGGCAGAGGCATGCACAGGAGTCTCCGCTCCCTGGCTCTCTCTGAGTCCCACCTCTCCCCATCTCCAGAGGAGGAGCTGCTGCCGCTGTCCTTCCCCAGCTCTCAACGAGTTTGGTGTCTCAGGATGGAAATGGATAAGGGTTGCAGGGGAGAGGGGGGAGGGAGGGTTCAAAATGCCTCCTCTCTCCCTTGGCCTACATCCCTTCCCCATTTGCTGGTCAACGGTGAGCCTGCCTTGGACCTCGTCTCCGCAGCAAGCATTGGCCTCAGAGGCAGCTTTGGAAGCGAAGTCGTGGACTGATCCCTGTCGGCAGCCTTGGCCAGGAAGGACCCAGGCCTCCCCAGGGTCCTCGATGGGCATGTGATGCTGGGGAAGGAGCCAACTCCGCCCCGGCTCTGCTCCCCACGCCTCTCCTCACTGTTCCTCCTTCTGCCACTCCTTCCGCCGACCAGAGGCCTGGCCCTTCTGTCCCCAACAGCCCCAGAGTGTTTCTGTGTGAAACCTCATTTACACTGTGGCATCCAAATCCACCAAGGATGGATTACTTGCACTCCGGTTATCTGCAGCAGCACAATGATTAAAATCTATATTCCTAGCTTCCTGGCATCTCGGTACGGGGTGGGGTGGAGGTAGAGGTGGGGGTGGGGGGTGGACAGGTGTCTTGATGGTTAGTGGGGGACTCCATGAAACAGACCCTCCGACATTCTCAGGCTAAAGAGGGTCGCAAGGGACCCCCTGTTCTTGGCTGTTGCCTCTGAAGAGGTTCTGCTTTCGAGCCGGCACCTCCCCTCTAGGAAAGCAGCCTAGCTTCCTTTTCTAAAGAAGGGAGGCTTCACGGATGTGTTGAGGAAAGGTTGCCCTCGGTAACGGGCTGCTTCCGGTTCCTCCTCACTTCTGGCTTCCATTCACTCAGCTTCCGCTGTTTCTGCCTGGCCCCAGAACTTGGAGAACATGCCTCTTCCTGATTCCCAGTGATTTTTAAAAAGCCGTACTGGCACCAGGGAGACAGACGTGAAAAAAGGCTGCTCCTGTGCGGCTGCGGGGGAGCCAGAGAACACCACGCTGACTTCTCGTGAGGCAGGAACAGGCAGAAGGCCTGCCCGCCTGGATCTGGGGCAGGGATGCTGGGAGTCGCCTTCCAGAAGCGGTGACTCTGCTGGGCTGCACACGTGGAACCTGTGATGTTCAGAGCTGGGCCGTTTGTTTCTCCTCGGGCACCTGGCCCTTGTCCTTACATGGTCCCTAGGAGGGTACCGCCACCTGCCTGGCCTTGCCTTGCCTTCCCTCCCAGCTAGAGGCATCCTGCAACCACGGGTGCCCCCTGGTGAGCGGGCTGCAGAGAGACCTTTTCTATAGCTTCTGGACACCCCTATTTCAGCTCAGCCCCCTGAAATAGCTGTTGGAACATGGGGCTAAAGGGCTGCAGGTACTGAGGGTGGAACAGCACGTTAAGGGAAGCCCTGGCTTGGTCTCCCCAAGCCACTTCCATTTCCACACTGTCCCCAAGAAAGGAGTTCCCACACTCTTTCCTGGAGGAAGCCAAGCCGAGCACGAGTGTGGGTGGGGTGCATGGGGCTTTCCATGTGCACAAAACGGTACCAGATCCATGGATGGGACTGAGGTGTGCTAAGATGGTAGAGCCTGCTGCTTCTGTGAGGCAGGTAGGATCTTGTGGATTAGAACAGGCTCCTGTGGGGCTGTACCTTCCTTGTCCAAGATCGCAAGCTGGTAAGTGACTGACTGAGGTCTGATTCTAAAACGACCCCACTGCATTGCCTCCAATGAAATAGCACCTGGAAAAATGGAGAAAATCAACTGCACTAGCCTAGCTTTAGGTCTCAAATGTCAAACCTCAGAGGACGGAAGACTTAATTCCCTCAAGGAATTAGGATTGACAAGGAAAGATTGGGAAGGGGGAACGTGAACTGAGCATAGAAAGTCCTACACGCATCTCCAAGGAAAGGTCCCTTCTCGCTGCTTCATCCCATTGGCTGTTCCAGGGCTTTGTTTAACCCTGGCTGCCTATGCTGTGCCTGGCTCAGTGCCTGGCTCAGTGCCTGATGCCGGTTCCTGCCGCCCAGCAGTTGCAGCCTGGGGAGGCAGATGGGACTCAATCTGCAATTACTATTTAATGAGACGAGATCGCTGTCAGCCGTTGCGAGCACGGCCCAGAAGCGACTCACCGGTGGTGGCCGCAGAGAGCTCCACCAAGCTGTGGATGTCAGGGCAGGGTTCCAGGAAGCAAATCTTGAGCTGTACTCTGATAGGAGAGAGAGGCCAGCCAGGCCGGGAGGAGGGTCCCAGGCTTCGACGCGAGAGAGATGGGTTGAATCATGATTGTCTTGTGATCTTGGGATGCTGTTAACCTCTCTGAGCCTCAGTTTCCTTATTTGTCAACTGGACAAAAGAAGGCCTCACTGTGAGGTTACGAGCCCCCTCCTTCACATAAAAGAATTCACTTACATTGGGTGGGTAGCTCCATTGCTATTTTTGTTGTTGAGGGAGAGATAAAGGGGTTCACAGCCCACTGGGGGGAAGGGTTTGATTTACGGGGGGGGCGGGGGAGAGGGCAGCACCACTTGGAGAATCTAAGGAGATGGGGCTGGCAGTGCAGGGTCTTAAGGAGTCTAGACATCATCCACATAGGACATTGGGAGGAACCTCCAGGCCCATCTACAGCCCGTAGCTGGCACAGGATCGGACCCAGAAATCAGCAGCATCTCAAACCTGCCGAGGGATGGGCTGCCCTCTCTCTGTGCTGTGGGCTCTGACAGGAGTGCCATAGGTTAAGATGGGGGCTTTTTATACACTGTGGTGGGATGGGTGGGGGGAGGGACAGCCAGCCTATTGATCCGGGCTTCAGCCGCAGCACCCACCTGTGCCAGTGTCACTCGGGGCCAAGAGAAATGCTGCCTCCCACCTTCCCTCAACACGGCCGGCAGGGAGCTGGTGACTGGGCTGAGGAATGTGCTTTGCTTGGGATTTCCAGGCCAGGGCCAGCTTGGGAGGTCAAGGGCTCAGATTGCCAGTGGGATCCAGGCACGGGGCAGGAAGGCGGCACTGGGCAGCCCTCTCTCTCTCCCTCCTGGGCACACAGCCCATGCCCTGTCCTGCTCTGTCCTCACTGGCAGCTGTGGAGGCAGAGCCCACAGGAAGAAGACACTCAGCCCCTTCAAGGGAGTATGAGGTCCTGAGCACTGAGCACTGAGCCCAGTACCCACCACCATAACCCCAGGCTGCTGGAGCCTTTAACAGTTTACAGAGAGCCCCGCTGTGCACGGTCCCCTTTGATCACTGAGGACCTAAGGACCAGGGACACTGAGACCTCTGCCCCCATCCTGTGGCCAGCAAGGCATAGACTAGACGTAGAACCCCACCCTCTGACTTCTACTCTGAGACTCATGTACCCCCTGCCTCACCCATAGCAACAGATCCTGTATCCCAGGATCAAACCCAAGGCCCCTGCACCACAGGGTTAGTGGAGAATCAATAAAATAGCGGGCGTGAAAGTGTTGACCCCCGTAAAGATGAAGGGCTGTCTTTATTTATACCCCATCTCAGTCCATCAAGGGCCCCACATGACTTCCAGCAATCGTACAGCAGGGTTAGTCACTGGAAAGTACGTGGCAAGATGGGGGAGGGGGGGAGAGTATGACAGCAAGGGGCTTCTCAGACTCCCTAAGCTACAGCTGCTGTGACTGGGACAGAGGACAGTTAAAGTGCCCAGTGGATGAGCCATGAAACATTTACCCCAGTCATAAGCATAGGTCCCCCTTCCCTCCCCACAGCACGAGGTGCACCCCTCAGAGACCAGGACTGGACACAGCGGTGAGGGCCAGAAAAAGACAAAGACCTTTTGGTTTTGCCATTAACAATGAGATGAGGAGATCCTTTCAAAACCACTGACCCGGAGCCCTAGACTAAATCTACACAAATACTCACCCTCCCCACCTTCCATCTCTCAGAACCCCCTGGTCTGGCATGCAAAAAAACACCACATCTCTGATGGTGGTTTAAAGGCCCTTTCTCTTCTCTGCCAAGTCAGGCTGCTCCCTCTTCCTACACACACAGCTCCAGCCGGGCCAGTTTTCACGGTCACTTCCTAGCTCTGAGCTTATCTTAACTGTGCTCTGTCCGGGTCACAGCAGCTGTACCTTAGGGAATCTGATAAGCCCCTGCTGTCATGGCCACCCTCCCCCCAACACACACACACACACACACACACACACACACACACACACATACAAACACACACTCACACACACACACACTGGGTCTCTGCCAGGATTGGGGGAGGAGACTTGGGGGGACAAGAGCTCTGAAGAAACCCCAAGCAGACTATAGGAAACCATCAATCTGACACGATGGGAGGAGGTTTCACATCCCCTTACATCTCACAGCGAGCCCACAAAGCGGTCATGAGCCACACTGCAGGGTGAGTAAACTGGGACATCAAAAGGCATGGTCTAGACTGAGCCGGTTTGGCTCACTGGATAAAGCATTGGCCTGTGGACTGAAGGGTCCCGGGTTCGATTCCAGTCAAGGGCACATGCCTGTATTGTGGGCTCGATCCCCAGTAGAGGGGGCTGCAGGAGGCAGCTGATCAATGATCCTCTCTCATCACTGATGTTTCTCTCTCTCTCTCTCTCTCTCTCTCTCTCTCTCTCTCTCTCTCTCTCTCTCTCTCCCTCTCCCTCTCCCTCTCCCTCTCCCTCTCCCTCTCCCTTCCTCTCTGAAATCAAAAATATTTTTAAAAGAAGCATGGTCTACTTGAGACTTGGGCAAATCAAGAAGCCTCTCTAAGCCAACTCATGATGTCTGAGAGCACTGTTTCCGGGGCCAGGTGGCCAGGGCTTCGATCTGGCTCCACCACCTGCCAGCTTCGTGATCCCCCAGAGGCAGTTACCTAGTTTTTCGGAGTCCCAGTTCTCTCATCTGTGGAATGAAGATAATCACCCACTTCTTAGAGTTGCGGTGAGCATCGAACTCATTCATACAGTGGCTAGCACACCGTGGGGAAGCTGTATGCGAGAATCATTATCATCTACAGAGTTGCCGAGGTAAGCAAATCAGTGGCAGAGCAGAGCACCCCATCGTGCCAGTCTGGGGGTGAGAGAAGGAATGGACTCTTGGATCTACTAGTTTTAGGGATCCGTTACCAGGTGAACAAAAGAGCTGAGTGACTGAGATGTCTAATCTGTTCCTGCTTACACATTGCAGAGAAGCTACAGCTGAGTGGAAATGGAACATACAAATTCCTTTTTAAAAAATATGTTTTTATTGATTCCAGAGGGGAAGGGAGAGGGAGAGAGATAGGAACGTTCCGCAGTGGATGAGATTCCACTGCGGAATATAGCCTGCAACTGGGGCATGTGCCCTTGGCCAGAAACAAACCTGGGACCCTTGAGTCCGCAGGCTGACGCCCTACCCACTGAGCCAAACTGGCTAGGGCCAAATACCTTTTTATAGATGATGAAACTGCCCCCAAGAGTGGAAGTCCTTGGTCATGACTATAATGTGGGTTGTGGTTTAAAAAAAGAAAGAAAAAAAAGGAGCTGGAACCCAGGATTCCTGACTTCCGTCCATCTGTGTGTGCTCTCCCTGCCACTTCAGCTGGGGAGACAAGGAACTCTCTGGCTTGGGGAGAAGAGCTAGCTTTTTCATGGGTCATATCCCTTCTGGGCCTGGACAGTGAATAACATGAAGTTCCCATTGCAATCAAGAGCTTGGGGAGGGTTTTTTGTATTTGCAGCACAAAATCCCCCACAATTCCCAGTAAGCCTGGCTAGGATTTAGATTGTAAGCAGCTCACTAGTTCCATCTTGTGTTTCTCCAGCCCAGTTGGGCATCACAAGGCAATGCAATCCTTAGGAACAAGCTGTGATATTGAACTGGCAGGGTTTGCCTCCCCGCTCTGTTACTCCCAGCTAGGGGCTAGTGGTGTAGGGCAGTGGTCGGCAAACTCATTTGTCTAAAGAGCCAAATATCAACAGTACAACGATTGAAATTTCTTTTGAGAGCCGAAAATCGACTTCTGCGCATGAGCCATGAAGTTTCAATCGACAGTACGTGTGTGCCTGCACGTGGTATTTTGTGGAAGAGCCACACTCAAGGGACCAAAGAGCTGTATGTGGCTCGCAAGCCGTAGTTTGCTGACCACTGGTGTAGAGCATGACACTGGATCCAAAATGCTCACTCAGAACCAGGGCTGGCTCAGTAAATGTTAGATTTATTATTACACCTGCTGTTGTAGTTGCTGGGTACATATTTTCTGAATGTATGAATGAACCAGTGATTGAATCCTTGAAGGAACAAATTGCCTAAGGGGCCCCAAGTTGTGCTACAGCTTTGAGCATCCCATAAAACTTCCTAGACTTACTTTGGTCAGAAGAGGGCAGCATTGAGTCAGCAATCCCAATTTGCCCAAAGAGTTCCAGGATCTACAACCCTCTCTTTTGACTCCCACCTCTTCCAATGGCCAGGTTCCTATCTAGGCAGTTCCACCAGGCAAGGCCTTTCCTCCGTTTACCAAATCCCACCCTCCCTCCAAGAGGGTACCCCTCCAACGCCCAGTCGGCCTCCTGTGAGGTCCTCCCTCAAACCCCTCAAAGACCCATCCTTTTAGCCCCACATGGCACTTTGTGCCTATCTTGAGAGTCCTCCCACTTTCTGCCTTGAATTATGTGTGTATCTTCTCTCCCTTACTAAACAGTAACTTCCTGAGAGTAGGGAGCTAGTTCTTAGGCACCTCTCAAGACTCCAGAGAATTTCTTTCTCATGTGACCTGTCTTACTCCCCACTTCCACCTCACCCCCACAGCCCGACCTTGGTGTCCCTCGCCTGCCCTCCTGCAAGCACTCTGCACTCCACATATCACTGCAGTCCTTACTCTGAATCGAATTTTAACGCTCCCTTCTCCAGCCCAGATCCACACAGACACACAGATTGCCACATGTGTAAGGCCTGGGACACACGCTTGCTCCTAACGGTTTTCCCGGTGTGGCTCCTAGTAGGCCCAATGAATGGTTATCCCCAGATAAGATTTGCTTGTTTATTTCTCACTAGAGGGAGTCCTACTGGCTGCGATCAGTGATTAAATGCCAGCGTGCGGGGGGGAGGGGGCAGGGATAGTAGGCTTCCTCCTCCCAGGACTGGACAGTGGGACAGGCAGGATGGAAATAGCTCAGCCCAGATTCCCGGCATTTCCGAGCACATGGCCTAGGAATTCCCCAGGATCTGCTGGCAGCTGAGTCACCTGACGTAATTAGATTCCCTGTCAGGCATTCAGGTCTCCCTCTAAGGAATTTGAGAGTTGAGTTTCAGCAGTTAAGATCATTTCCGAGACGCATGTCTGTTTGTCTGCCTCCCTTGCCTGTTTGCTGGGGACAGACAGCAGCCAGATGCACGTGCCACTAAAGCCTTGTCCTGCAGCCCCACAGGAGCCCTCAGGCTGCCCCTCGGCTGGGACAGGGGAGATCACTTGTCTCTGAGGTGAGAGATCCACATTCTGGTCAAAGGAAGCTGACGTGGGGGTGGGGAAGAAGCAACAGGGACGGGAAATCTACCCCCCACTGCCATCATAGTTTCCCTGCTAATGGAGGGAAGGAAATCGCTCCTCTGTAGTTGCTTTCATTTTAGCCTTTCAATTCCATTGCATTCCTTTAGTTCCGTCTGTTGAGTGTCCTTTGGTGTTGGGAACACCTGGAAGCATTCATAGGCGTCTGAGCATGAAAGAGGAGCTTAGGCTCATCTGTATAATTCTTTCATCTTACTTATGAGGAGATGTTGATTCACTGCTCACACCCGTCTGGTCTCAGCTTCAAGGACCCTGAATGCAGGAAGCTGCCCCTGACCAACCTCCTTCTGCCTGGTCTAAGGGCTCCCTCCTGTTACACACCCCAAGGATTCTGTTACCCCCATTCTGGACACATCTTCCCCTAAGATTTGCTTGTTTATTTCTCACTAGACTGAGAATTTTCTGAGGACAGAGACCATGTCTATCTCATCACCATCAGATCCACAGACCCAGCACTAAGAATGTGTAGAATGAATAAGTGATTGGTAAAAGGCCCCAGAACTAGCTGGTATGTCAGGGCTAGAACTGAGGTCTCCCAACACTGTGCCCTGTGCTTGCTCTGATAGTACCCACCCGTATCCATCTGTATGATCCCAGCTAGCTGAGTCCCTAGGGATGGATGCAGATCTCAAGGGAGAAAGCAAACAGCAGGTCAGGGGAACTGTCACCTGGGCCACATTCTGTTTTCCAAGACAACCCAGAGCAAGGGGGATGGGCAGTAGAGGGAAGAGTGCCAAACTGGGTCCCCCTCCTATGTCCCTTCAGATTTGGGAAAGGGGGTGGATTTATTGCACAAGTGGATCTTCTCCAGCCGCCAGGGGGCAAAGGGCCCCATTCTCCATCCTTAACTCCCGCTAGAACGGATCAGAGCACCAGTGGAAGTAAGAGAGTAGGCAGACACCAAATACAAAACTCAGTCAGTGGGGATCTATCCCTCTTGATCCTCAGCATGCCCTGAAGACACAGCTGAAGGCACAATCCTCCTGGGGGGTCTGGCCCCAGTTTCTTATAAGTGGGTATCAGTAGTATCAGTTTTGATACCCACTTCGCAGGATTGGGTTATCACAAAGACTCAAGGGGAAGTGTTAGGGGAGGAGGAGAACCTGTGGCTATTTGATTTCATTCTAAATGACACTGGGCATGGACCTGGTGCTATGACCTACCACCAGTCCTCCTGACTCCAAGATCGAAGAGAGGAAAACCTTGCAGGGACAACTATTTATGAATTTAGAGGTACAAGTTAAGCAATGAGGGGGTAGCTTTATTTTTTCAATGAATGAGTGTTTCCCTTTGGTTCTTTCCACCTCCTTCCAACACTTTATAAAGCCCACCACATCTTGAAGGCCCATTCAACTCTAGAAGCCTTCTTTGATGGAGCGGAAAGAACTTGCTAGAACCGCATTTCTGAGATCCAATCAAGGTTGATTGAACTGAAGATGAACTCAGAAGCCTGGAACAGCTAGCCCTCCCACGTAGCTAGAGCCCACCTCTATCCTTTCCCATCCTCCTTTTCCCTAGGGTCTTAACGAAGTGGTAAGTGGTTTTCTAGATTTTGGCTTGAGAGACGCAAATTACTAGGATGGCGAAATACTTGGGTGACTTCTAGTCCTGTCCGATTGCCCCAGGCTCACTGAGAACACAGCACAAGAGAAGGACAACAGGTGACCCCAAACAGGATCAAGTACCACTCAGAGGCAAGAGCAGTTCCAGGGCCCCTCAAAATTTCCAGACAACACACTCAGCAGCCTCCACCGGTGTCCTTTAGTCTAGCGGTCGGTAGCCAACCTTTTGGGCCTGTCCCTACGCGGGTTGCACCGGAGGGGGTGAGCGGGCCCCATTGACACCTTTCCAAGCAGCGCGGAGAGGGGAGGCGGGGCCGGAGTCCTGGGCGGACCAATGAGAACGGCCCCGGACACACAAAGCCGGCGAGCGGGCCAATGGGCGCGGGGGGTGTGGCCTGGCCGCGGGCTGGGGCATTTATAACAAGTTGGAATGCGGTGCCCGGACGCGCGCTGCGAGGCGGCGGTGGGCTCCCGTGCGGGGTTCGGAACGTGTGCCCTGGTTCTACCCACGCAGCCGACCCCTGCGCCGCCTGCTCTCGGCTCCTGCTCGCCATGGAGTCGCTGACTCTCGCTCGGCGGCCCGGCCCGGCTCCTCCGGCCGCCCTGGCCGACGGGCTCAAGTCGCCCAAGCCGGTGATGAAGAAGCAGGCGGTGAAGCGGCACCACCACAAGCACAACCTGCGGCACCGCTACGAGTTCCTGGAGACGCTGGGCAAGGGCACCTACGGCAAAGTGAAGAAGGCGCGGGAGAGCTCGGGGCGCCTGGTGAGTGCGGCTCCCTCCTGCTCGGGCTTTGCCGGGGGGCCAGAGCCTTGCTCCGGGAGTGGGTGGGGACCCCCTTTATTCAGTCTTTTTGTAAAAAATATATATTTTACTGCTTTTTTACAGAGAGGAAGGGAGAGGAATATTGAGTTAGAAACATCGAAGAGAGAGAAACATGGGTCAGCTGCCTCAGGCACACCTCCTATTGGGGATGTGCCAGCAACCATGGTACATGCCCTTGACGAGAATTGAACCTGGGACCTTTCAGTCTACAGGCCGATGCTCTATCTACTGAGTTAAACCGGTTAGGGCTTCATTCAGTCTTGACCAAGCTGAGATTGCGGGGCCGGGGCGGTGACGGTGTGTATCGCAGATGTGTCTGTCCATGGTTGTACGGACAATGGTCGCGGACCTGAGAACCCCAACAACACCGGGCAGCATGTGGCGATGGCCAGTTAGTGATGGCCAGTGGGTGCAGGGAGCCTGGCAGTCTAAGAGCATCCTTAGGGATGAGAGGTCCCCCCTAAAGAAGATGGAACTTGAGTTGAGTTTTGCTGGGAACAGACTTCCAATCCAGCGGAATGGGAAGAGGAAGTAGAAGGCACCTGATCCTGGTAGGGGGGTTAGTCCCAGTGAGTGTGTGTGTTTGGATGAATGAGTGAGGCCTCTAGTTCTCAACTCAGTCCTGTGCTTGTGGCAGCCCAGCATACTACGGAGATGTGCACGGGGATGGAGTGGGGGGGAGGGGGAAATGGGGTTTGGACACTTACGTCCTTTCTAAATCTAAGAGTGAGTTGAAGTGTCTGTATGATGAGTTTTTAAAAAATATATATTTTTATTGATTTCGGAGAATGAGAGGGAGAGAGAAATAGAAACATCAACGATGAAGGAAGAGAATCATTGATAGGCTACCTTCTGCTTACCCCCTACCAGGGATCGAAACCAAAACTGGGGCATATGCTTTGGCCAGGATCCAACTCTGACCTCCGGGTTCATAGGTCAGCACTCCACCACTAAACAACAGCAGCAATACGATGAGTTTTTTATTCTGGGAAATGTGAAACCAGCCTCTGGCACAAGGTCCACTGTGCCCCAAGATTCCTTCAGGTCCAAGGCCTTTTCAGAAAGGTGTCCTGTTAATTTGGTGTGTGTGTGTGTGTGTGTGCGTGTGTGCGCGCGCGCATGCGCACATTGTAGTAATCGTAGTAATCTGTGGGGCCTTGAGCAATTAATTTATCTCTGTTCGCTCAGTTTCCCCTTCTGCAAACACAGAGAAACCTCAGCCTCCCTCACCAGCTGCTGTGAGGACTGAGTGAGAAGTAAGTGTGAATGTAAATTGCTCTGACATGAAGAAACCACTGTGAGAACTGATGCTTATATCTGGAAAGGCCAACCCTGAAAGGGTGACATGCTTGCCCAAAAGTTGGTGAACAGTGGTTTCCAAACTGGAGTTTCATATGCATAGGAATCAACTGCTTGTTTGAAATCCTTATTCTCTGCTCCCACACCCATAGGATTTTATTCTGAAGGTCTAGGATTGGGACCAAATAATCTGTATTTTAACAAGCCTTTTAGGCAGGTGCTCTAGGAATTGTTTTGCCAAATCCAGTTGAGTGCTGGTTATGAGATGTGTGGAAGCACAGGTGTGTGTGTGTGTGTGTGTGTGTGTGTGTAGCCATGGTTTGCCCTATCGGCTGTGGCTGCAGTCGCCGCCCTGGATTGTTTGCTTTAGCAGCCAGTAGCTGGTTTGAAATTCAAGAAGTCCTTTCATTGGTGAAGGAGAGTGGATGCTGGCAAAAGGGGATGGGTTTATGGCCCCATCAATAGGACCGGGTATGCTTTTTCTGCTAATGCCTGGCATGGTCCCCCGTTGCCTGCTGCCAGGTTACAGCTATTGGGCAATCATATACTTCCTTCCTAACTTTCCTTTTCTTTCTCTTTCTATAAAGTGTGAGGGCTTGGTGAGGCTCCAGCTTCAGACTCCTGGGCCCAGGCTTTGTCGGCGGCTTAGCTGGAAGATAGCTGATTGAGGGGGGCAGATTGGGTTGGGGGGCCTGGGGGGCCTTAAAACTGGGAAAGTGAGATTTAAGTTTAGAGAGCTAATCAGGCTTTTGACCTAGGTCACTGCATTTAGGAGAGAGAGGGAGGAAGGCGGGGAGAGAGGAAGGTGGGGAGGGAGCAATAAAGAGATCTTATTGATTCTGGAATGAGATAAACCAGCTTTCAGTTTCCAAATCTCAGCGACTGGAGGCAGGGGTTCCAGCTCTTGTTACATCAGAGCACTGACTCCAGAAGGTACTCCGGCCCCGTGCCTTCTGCTGTATGCAGGGAGCCGAGATCTGTAGGAGTGGGACCTGTTCCGAACCTCCCCGATCTGTATAGACCGTTCTGTGCTTCTGCTGGGCACTTGCTCGGTGTCTCTCTTCTCCTTGTGGAGCAGCTGCCTGCTGTGCTGATGGTTCCTCAGTTCTGGAGAGGGGAGTCCTCTTCCCCACCCCCACCCCCTCATTCCTGCCTCTTCACTGTTCCCTCCTTCTCTCTCCACTGAAGAGAGACCAACCTCAGGATCTTCAACGGGAGAGAGGGACATGGAGCCACCCAGACCCCCTCAAAATGAACTGAGATTACTGATAGACTAACATCGGAGGAAGACCTGCTGGGTGACTCCCATCCCAATTTTCTCTCCACTTTTACAGACCTTTTCCCATCCCCAGCCTGCCTAGATGAGATTGTCAGGGGCTTGATGGGACTGTCCGGAGGGAGGGGCAGGTGGGCAGGACTAATGGCTACTCCAGAAGGGCATCAAAGGAAAAACAAATATTTGCTCTGGTTCTCCTAGTCTCCAAGTGCATTCCTGGTATCCCGATGACATTTCCTCCTGTGGCCCTCCCAGCTCCCTCACTCCCCGTCCTCCTAAAGAGAAAAACACCCGCCGGTAGAGTCGGCCAGAGCCTTTGGGATGATCTGCATGGAAGTCTTAACCTCTAAGGGCTTCCATGAGGAACACGAGGGGGGTCCAAATGGCTGGTGACCTGGGGCAGAGGTGCTTCTGTCTGATATATTCAATGGCTTGTTGGGATTTGAAAATGACTGAGATGGTCCTATTCCCTTCATTGACAGCTGGGGAGACTGAGGCCCGGAGAGGAGATGAGACTTGTTTTCTGGCTGGTTAGTACATGCCTGCAACCTAAGCCCTGATCTGACCATCCCAAGTCCTGGATCACCACTTCTGAGTCTTGGTCTGGGAGTTGGCCTTCAGTTGTCCCCCGGCCTGTCTCAGTGTGTTTTGTCATCCCAACAAGTCTGCTCCAGTCACCTTGCTCAGTGCTTCAGGCAGTGCCGAGGGTTGGAGGATCGCTGAGAACCGACACTCACTCTCTCTCTCTCTTTCTCTCTCTCTCTCTCTCTCTCTTTCTTTCTCTCTCTCTCTCTCTCTCTCTCTCTCTCTCTCTCTCTCTCTCTCTTTTTCACACACACACACACACACACACACACACACACACACACTCTGCCTGTGAAGGATCCTGGTTGGGTGAACTACACCACATTCCTGGTTTTCACCTTGTCAGGAAGGTTGCTTCTCTCAGAGTCAGACTGCATGGGTTCAAAATCCTGCCTCTATTGCTCACCCACCAGCTCTGTGACCTCTCTGTACCTCAGTGTCCTCATCTGTAAAGTGGGGTTATGGTAACTCCTACTGCATGATAGTCTCGTAGGATTAAATAAGATAATATATGGCAAAGTGCTGAGTACAGTAGCTGATACAGTGTCCTCCCAGCCAGGCTGCTGTGACTACAGTCCCTCCCCTCTCCGGGAGACATCCATCCTGGGTCTCCTTGCCCTGAGCAAGACCCTGGGCTGTGCTCAGCTTCTTTAAGCCTAAACCGCTTTGGTCTCTGCTTTGTTCAAAGTCCCAGTCTCTCCTTCAGCCCCAACTCCAGAGAAGGGATCCCACCTGGCCAGCCGCCCTCCCAGCGCCTCCTGCACCAGCCTGCTCAGCAGCGGGGAGGAGGCCCCGGCTGCGGGAGACTCTTGTCCTTGGGCCCTGGCCAAACCACACAAGAGAGCTGGGCAGGGAAGTGCCTTGCCCAGCAACCTGGCAGAGTGGGCAGGAGGGTGGCAAGGAGGGGTGGGCACAGTGTGTGGTTTAGGGGAAGCAGCTCGGACTCCCCTCATGGTTGGAGCCCATCCCTCTCCCTGGCTGGTTCTCTGGCAAGCTTGGTGGGAGGGTGAGCCCCCACACGCTGGGCCCACCCCCACTCTGCCCAGCCCAGGCCAGCCCAGCTCAATCTCTCCTCCATTATCTAAGTGGGTCATCCTCCATCTCCTTCCCCACCTCCCAGGTGGCAGCTGCTTCATGAAAGGTCAGAGAGGAGCCAAGGACCTTGGCTCCAACTCCTGGCAAATAGCCATGACCAGAGATGCCCAATGCGCACCCTCTTTCCTGGGACCTGGGATCAGCACCTTTAGATCTTGTTTTTCTAAGACCTTCCTGCCATCCTCTCCTGAATCCAGATCATTCCTCCTGATCTGAGTTGGGGGTGGGGGGGCGGGTAGGGGAAGTGTTTAACCATTGGAACCCCAGCAACCATCTCTCCAGTGTTTGTGTAAGTGGGATGGAGGTGGCTGGTGGTAGTGTGCAGATTGGCCCAAGGCAGCGTGTGGGGCATTCCCTTCTCCAGGGGCGGGAGGGAGGGAGCTGGAGGCAGGGTGGGGCATCTGTGAGGATCTTTTGTCTTTTGAGATCGCAGCTTCTCCAGGGAACACCTCTCCCTCTTGGATCCTGACTCTGCCTTCGAAGAGTCGGTGCACCTTTTCTGCAGTGTTTGCCATTTGCAACATGGGGCAGGAAGTTAGCCCTGCAGGGCCACGGGAGTGAGAAAATCCCTGGGCTGGGATCAGCAGGAGCTGTGCTCAGACAGGTTAGCAGAGATATAGCTCTTTATAACAATCCTTGGCTAGCACCTTCCTGGCATGGTCGCAGGTGACCCATTTCTGAAGACGCTCAGCGGACAATGCTGGCGTTTGGAAGGGAGCTTAGAGATCCTGATGTGCAAATTTGTGAATGGCCCCTTTCTTCCTGGCCTTTGCTCAAACATTTCTCTCTGCCTGGCGTGCCCGTGCTGCCCCTCCCTAGCCTATCCTCCTTGGCTTGGCAAACCCCACTCATCTGTCAAGATCTAAAACATTTCTCTCCCCAGCTCCTCCCAGCTGAGGAAGCTCCTCCAGTGCCCTTGGAGCCCCTGGCAGACAGGGGCCTCCGTTTTCACACTCATCACACTTCACTGGAGTTGAGGTTCATTGCCAGTCCTACCGCTGCACTGAAGAAAGACCTTGGCAGAGGGACTGTCCAATTGCTGTCTACATCCCCAACACCTCACATAGCACCAGGCACATAGTGGGCGTTCAGCAGGTGTTTGGAGAATACATGACCTTTCATTTTTCAGATGAGGGCAGCAAAACCAGCCAGACCAGTTGACCAGATTATTTAAGTGACTTGTCTTGAGTTGCAGAGTCCAGCAGTGGCACATAAAGATGAGAGATACCTGAGCTCCTGACACCCTCTCCACAGACCTAGTGTTTGCGTGTCCATTCATATAATTGTTGTGTCTGGGTTCCCTGTTCCCTCTGAGTATCTAAACCTGGATACTTTGGAGGGGAAGGGGTCCCTGTTAGTGATATTGCTGGGATGAACCAGGGTTGTCCCTGGGCTTGTGATCTCTCTACCTCTGGGTGATCCACGCAGCTCCCGTCTGTACGTTTTCATTCTAGAGAGTGGTTGCTCACTAACCGCCTTGCCGATGGAGAACAAAGGTCCCTCCGAATTAGTGCCTGTGACAGAGGTTGCCTCTCCACCCATGCCCGGGAAGAAAGGCAGAAAATCTCACCTGGCACCGGCCCCATTAGTCAGGGAGCAGCCCCATGACCTCACCAATATCTCTAGATGGTGATTGGTGTTCCCAGTAAACAGTCGTTGAGTGCTTTTGATTGCGGAGCTCTGTCTAGGCCTGAGCGCTGGCTACATCTTATCTGCTTTGCTAGGCTAGCCAGCAGGTAGCGAGGGGCCCTTCTCATGGGATGGGCTGAGGAGCCGTGGCCCAGCCTCACCAGGGCACTGACATCTTGCTCTTCTGGTTTGTCACCTGCTTAGGGGCTGGTGGAGGCCTGCTGACATTACTTGTTTCTCTCCTGGGAGGTGCCAGCCACACTCTGCTGTCCCCTAATGTAGATGATTGGGGTCCTTGCTCCCCCACCCCCTGAGGCCAGAGCATAAGCTAACAGGAGGATGGAACTGTCCGTGGAGGTTAACAATTCTGATTTAGGGCCATGGGCTTCCAAATTTGAGAGAAATGGATCTCAAGGTTTGGTTTGTACCCTCTATCTATCCATCAGCGTGCTGTTTCTAGCACAGCTCAGACCCCAGAAAGGGGGGAACCTCCTTTCTTTTAGGTCTTGTCTTTTTGAGAGCTCTGCCTCCTAAGCCTAGGATGGTTTCTCTCTTGTTGTATTTGTCTGTGTGTACACAGTTATACATCCCAGGTGTGCTTAGCCTTTTCATATATGCGCATCTTAAGCCCTCACATAATTCTGTCTCATTATCAAGTTATGTGATTTATGTATGTTTTTTTACTACCTGTTAATAGGTTGTTATGGCCCTTTATCTGAAGAGTACATTGTACTTTATCCATTGTCTGATTATTAAAATGCAGACATTTAGAGAAGAAAGAATTAGCCTATAAAATTGTGTCTTCTGGGGAGGGAGATGTGTGGAAGCCGAGCGCCAGGCTGAAACCTCAGAGCTGATGGAGGAATCCAGTCCCTTTGTCCCCATCCCCACCCCCCATCCAATTCTCAATCAGGGATTTTGCAGCTCAGCTCTGGGGGTGTTTTGGAGCAGAAGGGGTGGGGGCGTGCACCGAGCACCTGCAGCTGCAGCGTGGGCCTCCACAGCGTCTTGGCGGGAGGCTCCATGGTGACAGTCCCTCCCGCTGCCATTGTCCTCCCTGCCCCGCTCAGGGACCAGAGAGCTGGGCCTGGCTCTTTCCCGGAGGCAGCTCCCGGGAGGAGGGCACGCCGATGGCCCGTTGCCGGGGTGACGGCCCTGGGCACTGTCAGCAGCTCCTCTTACGGGATTACGCGGGGCTGTTCCGCATTCTTGTCGCTGTCCCTGTGAGCAGGAAGCCATTGTCTGCCTCCCGAGCCCCGGTGAAAGGGGGGATTAGAGGCCCCCCTTCCCAGAAGTGGTTTCCTTTTCTCCGTCTCCTTTTGAAACTCTCCTGGGAAACTGAATGAGGAGCTGTTTACCTCGGCCTGTGCCTTGGGGTTTCTCCTAACTTGCCTGACTCCGGTGAAGGGGAAGTCTGTGTTTACCATTTGTGTCCCTGCACCAGGCTCGACAGGAAGTGACCAGCCCTGAGACACCCCGCCCCTGCCCAGCACCCGATGCCAGCAAGGCAAGCCTCTACGGCCGTGGCATTTGCGTGGCTCATCTCACAGCCAAAGCAGGAAAGCACCACACATGTCCGTTCAGCCTGTTTGTTTCACGGAAAAGAAAGCTCTGAGGAGGGGTGGGACAGCCCCTGGGGACAGTGACAGAGCCTGGAGGAGAACCATCGTCTCCTGGCTCCCAGGCTGTGTCTTCTGCACACATGTGCATGTGCGAACACACACACATACACATACACACAAACATATATATACACACACACACACACTCACACTCACACATACACTCACACACACACACACTCTCACACATATACTCACACACACTCACACACACTCACACACACTCACATACACACACACACTCACACACACACACACACACACTCTCACACATATACTCTCTTACACACACACACACACACACACACACACTCACACTGCACAGTTGTGATTCTCCCCTTTCTGTCACCTTGGCCCTGTGTGGGATGGAGAGAGAGGGGGAGGGAGACCCCTCAGTCTCTAGAGCTTTGTCGCAAGGGCATCTGGCAGCTCTTTCTTCATTCTCCCTTGCCTCCCTCCACCCTTGAGGACCGGCCACGAAACCCAGCTGGAGCATTTGTCCTTTTATGGCATGTTCACCTTTACAGACAAGAGGGCGAAGCCCAGAGGATACGGTTGCTGGGAGAGGGACATTCCTTTCCTAGACTGAAGATACCTGTGTGGGGTTTTTTGTTTTCATATTTTTTTGTGTGGTAAAATATATATAACATAAAATTTACCATTTTAAGCATTTAAGTGTACGATTCAGTGGCTTCCAGTACAGTTTCAATGGTGTGCAACCATCACCGTTATGCATTCCTCCCATTGTTTCATCTCTCCAGACAGCAGCTCTCTGTACCCATCAGACAGTCCTGCTCAGCCCGCCACCAGTCCCTTCGCCTGGCAACCCCTGTTCTGCTTTCTGTCCTGGGCATTTTCCCCGCTTGGTCACCCCATTGAAATAGACTGGTACGGCATTTGGCCTGTGCGCCTGGCTTACTTCACTGAATATACTGCTGTCCAGGTTCATCAAGGCGGTGCCGGCTAGTGACAGTATGACTTTGAGCAGATCACTTGACTTCCCTGGGTACCAGTTTCCTTGCCTGTAAATGGGGATGAAGATGCTTCCTGTGCTTACCCCCCAGGACTGTTGGGAGGGCCAGTTAATTTACTAGCACAACAAACAGTTATGCAGTGCCTACTGCGTGCCCAGCACTATGCTTGGCATCAGGGATCCAGTGGTGGGCACATCCTCATCCTCCTGGAGTTGTAGGGTAAATTTGCTGTGTGAATCCTAAAGCATCAGCCTTCCCGATGGTTGTTACTTTCCTTGTTTATCATTGGTCCTGACTCCTTCCTGTGCATGGACCACCCCTACAGAAGGTGCTCTCCAGCCTCTCCGCCATCTTCCCTGGTGGAGGTCAGAGTGGCACCCTGCGGTGCGTCCTGTGGCCTCGGCGGCGGCAGCAGGCAGATCACAGTCAGGACTTGGAGAATGTCCTCGGGGACACTGTTAGCTGCCAGACCTTCCTCTTCACTCTCCAACATTCTCTTTCCCCAGGTGGCCATCAAGTCGATCCGGAAAGACAAAATCAAAGATGAGCAAGACCTGATGCACATTCGGCGAGAGATTGAGATTATGTCATCACTCAACCACCCCCACATCGTGGCCATCCACGAAGGTAGTTTGCACCTGTGTGTGTGTGTGTGTGTGTGTGTGTGTGTGTGTGTGTAGAAATAGAACAGATGATACAAAAGAAAAGACAAGAAAAGAAAAGACACACAGGCTTTAGAGTTGGACAAAAGCTGGATTTGAAATTCAGTGGTGTGGCTTGGGCAGCTATTCAATTTAGTTTCTGGGTGGGCCTCAGTTCCTCATTTGTAAAACGGGATAATCCCACCTACGTCACAGGGGAGTTGCAAAGGCCAAACAAAATGTCACCGTGTGCTCAGCTCATGGGAGGAACTCCGTGTATTGTAGGCTTTTTGTGGTTATTGTTCGGGTTTCTGTACTTGAACGCTACCTCCCCAGCCCAGTGAAAGCCTCCGCCATACGGGGGCGGCTGACACAGGGAGGCCTGCATCTGCCTTGGGCGCATGGGCGCTGAGAGCCAGCCTCCTAGGGCCTGCCCCGTCCTCGGAGTCATTCCCGCCAGGCACCTGGCTCCCTCCTCTCCTTATCATCTCTCCCAGCCTCCCTTGCTCTGACAACAGTGGTGGCTTTCCACTCCAGCTGCCCTGTTCCCTGTGACCGAGACAACAAAGCAAGCAAGAGGCGGGGGGGGGGGGGGGGGGACAAAGGAAAGAGGGGGAACACCTTCCCACACACATCTGTCTGCTTCCAGCCTTTACATAATGTCAGTTAGATGGGACAAGGGATAGCAGCAGAGGGAGGGAAACTATGGCTTTGCCCTCTGTCTGAATATTCCTGGTGGGGAATATGAGAGACATCTTCTCTCTTGGGCTATATCATAGGAAGACGAAGGGCAGAGCCGCTCACACGGCCCTGTGGCCTGAGCCTGTCTCACAGGAGCCCAGGCAAGTAGCTAAGAAAGCCCATTGTATCTCTGTGTATTCCCCTAGGGCAGAGTGGGCATGGCGGAGTAGTGGTTAAGCCCGGCTGAGCGTGGTGATCAGTGTGTGTGTGTGTGTGTGTGTGTGTGTGTGTACACATATGAGTGCATGTCCCACGCCCATATCCCCAGCCAGGTCTGCGCACTGAGCTTTGAAGCTCAGGATGTGGCTTCCCCCTCCCCTTCCAGTTCTGCAGATATAGGGCCGTCATAGTTACTGTGTGAGCGGCAGGGCTCTCCGGATCCATCCCCATGGTGACACAGCCCTCAGGAGGTTAGACTCGGGGGTGGAGGGTGGGGGAACTGACCTAGCTGCTGTCCAGAGCGTGCTGGCTCTTAACCCCCGATTTCATGGCACAGAGTCTGCAGAGATATGGAGAAGCACAGGGAGAGAGGCTCAGCTGGACATCCCCCAGGAGGCTGGGCTACCACCCATCAGGGCCACTCACTCATGCTCCCCTGGGAAAAAGCTCAGTTCTCCCCGCCATGTATCCGAGTGCCTGAGAGCTGGGGCTCCTCCTGGGAGAAGCCACCTCCCTCAGCTCCCTCTCACCTGCTAGACAGCAGCAGCCCGGGGCTGGCCCAGCAAGCCCAACTCCTAGGACCTGTTTGACACAAAGATGCAATGTCAGGGCCATGCGTGTTCTGACACAACCCAGCTGAAGGGCCAGTTTGGCGACCTAGTCGTTCCCTAACCTTTCCAGGGGGCTGGAGCCAGGACAAGGCCTCACGGGCAAGAGGGCCCCTCCTCTACGTGTTGATGAGCCAGATGGGGCAGGCTGCCTGCCAGGAGCCCAGCCAGTCAATGAATTACCGAACATTCTGATTGCTTCTGTGGACGAGGCCCTGGAAGTACTCTGGGTGGGAAGTCAAAGGTGTTGGGGGAGATGAGTACTCAGCTCTCCAGGGTACTGTGTGGTGTTCAAGCCACTTACATAGACTTCTGTTCCTTTTCTGACCCTCAAGGCAGGCATTGTGTGGGCATTCTTATGTATATTACATATAGGAGGGCGCTGCCAATAAATCTAACAGTAGGTGGCGTGTATTGAGGGCTCGTTTATGTCAGCCCCTCCGCCAGCTTGCTCAGCCAGCCCCCGGCTGTCACCGGCCTTTTTTTTTTTTTTGAATTAAAAAAAAAAGTATTTTATTGATTTTTCACAGAGAGGAAGGGAGAGGAATAGAGAGCTAGAAACATCGATGAGAGAGAAACATCGACCAGCTGCCTCCTGCACACCCCCCACTGGGGATGTGTCCGCAACCAAATGTACACGCCCTTGGCCAGAATCGAACCCAGGACCCTTCAGTCCACAGACTGATGCTCTATCCACTGAGCCAAACCGGTTTTGGCATGTCAGCGGCTTTTATCTAGTTCTCATCGCAGCCCTCAGAGGTTGCCATGATCATCCCCCTCTTCAAATGAGGAAACTGAGGCACGCTGGTTGAATAACTTGCCAGGGCCACTCAGCCAGTAAGTTATGGGGCTAGGATTCCAGCCCCGAACTGACGTTCTTACTGCTGGGTCTAGAAGAGGTTTGCCCTACATCCCACAGCAAAAAGCACGGACTTCCGAATCCGACAGCCTTCCCATTCTCACCCGGGGATGGCTATGCCCTTGGGGAATCTGCAAGTTGGTTTCAGGAACCCACAAAAGCCAGAACCTCCAGAGAGGGCGGGGGAGCCAGTGTGCTTGGCCTTAACGAGTCACTGCTGAAAGATGTGGAGAGCGTCAGAGGCCCTTCTCCTGCCCTTACCTGCCACCCTCCTGCCCCATCACAGGCATCCCCAGAGGAAGGTCCTGGAGCGGGTGCCTGGTCCAGGGCCAGGGAGAGGTCAGCGGCCCCCAGGGGGAGCAGTGTGCACGGGAGGGTCCTGATGTCCTGTGTTGTTCTGCCCAGTGTTCGAGAACAGCAGCAAGATTGTGATCGTCATGGAGTACGCCAGCCGGGGCGACCTGTACGACTACATCAGCGAGCGGCAGCGTCTCAGCGAGCACGAGGCCCGTCACTTCTTCCGGCAGATCGTCTCCGCCGTGCACTATTGCCACCAGGTGGGCCCCACCCGCCTGGCTCTGCTCCGAGGGGGTGGTCCCGGGCTCTGGGGCTGGTTTGGGCCAGAGAGGTTCCAGGTTTCTCCAGGATCACACAGGGAGATGAGCAGAGGCAAGACTCGATTCTGGGCTCTCGGCCTAGTATAGTGGTTGGCAAACTCATTAGTCAACAGAGACAAATATCAACAGCACAACGATTGAAATTTCTTTTGAGAGCCAAATTTTTTAAACTTAAACTTCTTCTAACGCCACTTCTTCAAAATAGGCCCACCCAGGCCACGGTGTTTTGTGGAAGAGCCGCACGCAAGGGGCCAAAAGAGCCACATGTGGCTCTTGAGCCGCAGTTTGCGGGCCATGGGCCTAGGGGATGCTAGGCTTTGAGTCCCTTGGCCAGGGCTGGAAGGGCCTGTGATAACCATGGCTATTCCCAGCCTACTTGTCCCCCCCACCCACCCACACACACACTGCCTCATGTTTGCCTCCCTTTCTGGACTAGGCCCTCATGCCCCGCCCTCCCTGCTAACCTCCCCCTGAGCCTCCTCCTCCCTCTTTCAGAATGGGGTTGTCCACCGGGATCTCAAGCTGGAAAACATCCTCCTCGATGCCAATGGCAATATCAAGGTGAGCCCACGTCTTGTTTCCAGCAGCTCCCCCTCCTCCCCAGCCTTTCCGCAGCCTTTCACCAAGTAACTCGAAGCCCTTAGGGGGTCCCAGGAGGAGTCGAATGAGCTCCGACTTACATGTTGGTGCCCCCTTCGTTTTATGGATGGAATACCGAGGCCTCAAATTAAGGGGCGACTCGCACAAGGTCCAGTGGCTAACGAGGAGCTGAGCATAGGCCTTCTGACTCCCCAATCAGTACTCTCGACATCACAAGGCTGACAGGAGTCTAGGTCTAGGGGCAGTTTTTGCTCACTTGGGACTGGCAGGGAGCAGTCGTTCTCCCTGCCGGTGTGCATGCGTGCACACATGAGCACACACATGTGCACATCCATCTGCTGCCGTTAGGTAACCCTCTGGCACTTTTCCACAAAGGCCAGGCCTTCCGGCGCCAGTTTCCTGCAGTTTAATTTAGGAACGAGAAGGGCACACTGAAGAGATAACCTCAGAGCACGGCGCTGGAAGGGGGAGACCCTGCATGTACCTGGGAGGGCACTGACTCTGCACTCAGACTTCCTCAGAATCTTCTCGAACTTGGGACATAGTCCCTTCTCATAATAGTCCCTGTGCTCTGAGGTGCCCTGGCACTGACTTCTTTCCCCCTCTCCAGCCAATTCCCGGAACAGGTGGAGCTGGCTTTGATGTATGGGGTGGGGGAGGGGAGCAGAGCCCATAAACCCCGGACCGGGCATGAACTCTCCATCTGCACCAATCACCCGCCTCATTATGGGCTTCACCTGGAAACTGCTTGATAAGGGGCCAATAAAGCCATAAACGAAGGAGCTAGGGTTTCGTAAACAGGCCCCCTCCACCCTGGACACACATGGCCCTCTGCTGGGGGGAAGAGGTCAGGAGCAGAGGGCACTGGCCTCAGCCTCTGTGTGAGTGGATGGTTGGGGAAAGGTCTCTCCGGAGAACAAGAGGTGGACTCGGGGCCTCTCACAGCCTCGGGATCCGATGGCTCAGGGAGTCCTGGGAAAAGATTCCCTCTCCTGGGCTGTAACTCTGGCCGTGATCTTTGTTCTGCCTTCATCTTTGCTTTTCAGCCATACTGGGCTGACCCCGTGATCCTGCCCGGGTGTGGACATAAACAAACCCTTCGCTAGGAAGGGCAGTCTAGCCTTACATGCTTACTCAGAGCTGGGGCGGCGTGCTGCTGAGGGTCGTGACACTGGCATGAGATGTTAAGTCTCCCCCTCCATCTGGTCAACCTCCCATTGGGTCCCATTCATGGGTCACACCTGTGCTAGGAGCTGCTGGAGGGACGGAGACAGAAGGAGGTCTGCACAGGGAGCACTGAGGTGGCAATATGAGGAGACAGAACTTCTAGGCAGTGGCTATAGCAAGCCGTTGGAAACTAGGGCTTCGGGGGAGAAGATCTCAGGGCAATGGAGGGCTTCCCAGGGGGAGGTGGGCTTGCTGGATCCAGAGGATGCATACGCCTGGGGTGGAGTACAGCATGAGCAGAGGAGCCTGGGCACAGTGAGGACCCGGAACCTCCCACACCCCTACTGGAGTGCTCATGGACACAGCTTCTGCAGGGCGCTTCTTTCCAGGGCCTGAGCCAGGTGGACAGCGCCCAGTGCGGGTGGGAGTCATGGGCAGCCTTTCCTCCTGCTGGGGCCTGGGATTTCCCAGGAGTCTAGGTCTAGGGGCAGTTTTTGCTCACTTGGGACTGGCAGGGAGCAGACAGTCGTTCTCCCTGCCGGTGTGCATGCGTGCACACATGCGCACACACATGCGCACATCCATCTGCTGCCGTTAGGTAACTCTCTGGCACTTTTTCCCAAAGGCCAGGCCTTCCGGCGCCAGCTTCCCGCAGTTTAATTTAGGAACGAGAAGGGCATGCTGATGAGATAACCTGGCAGGCTGAAAGCGCCAGGCCATCCCAGGCCTTGGTGTGACCCTGTGTGTTTGTCTCACCCTGCAGATCGCTGACTTTGGCCTCTCCAACCTCTACCACCAAGGCAAGTTCCTGCAGACGTTCTGCGGGAGCCCCCTCTACGCCTCGCCCGAGATTGTCAACGGGAAGCCCTACACGGGCCCAGAGGTGGGTGCCTGCCCTCCACCACCGGCCTCCTCAGGCATTTCCTGTGTGACGTTAGCTCCTCAGAGCATACAATTCAACACTGCTCACTCCCCCCCACTCCCCCAAAGCAGCGACTTGCCAGGTCATTGCCAGCAGTGGCCAAACTGGGACAAGAACTCAAATCTGTTGTCCCTCAGCCTGGTTCTGGGCTGCTCACTTTCCTGCTTCCCATCACCTTTCCCAGCGCCCAGCCAGCCACTCCTTCCTGTCCCCGAAGGATGGCCTCGCCACTGCCCTCGTGTTTGTGGCTGCCCCTGCCAAGGAGAGGTGATGAACAGCACCTCTCTCCTGAGGCTCAGTCCCTCCTGCAGCGTCACTCCTTTGCCCTCAGAGACTAGAGGGAGGTGACCCTCAGAGGCACTGGCCTCTCTCTCTGGTGTGCAAGATCCTTGCTGATCTGCCCCTTCCGCCCCTCTCAGGTGGACAGCTGGTCCCTGGGTGTTCTACTGTACATCCTGGTACATGGCACCATGCCCTTCGACGGGCAAGACCATAAGACACTGGTGAAACAGATCAGCAGTGGGGCCTACCGGGAGCCGCCGAAACCCTCAGGTGAGTGGGTGGTCTGGGTGTTCGCATCCAGGCCCCGGTGCCTGAGCTAACGCCTGAGGCGGAGTCAGTGGCACAGAGTGAGGAGGACACCCCATGCGGATGAGAGGACCCTCCACCGCCTCCTGCTCTTCTCTCTCTGCCTCCGGTGTCTGTGACCTGGAAAAGGAGGGATGTCTCTTCCTTCCCTTGTGGGCACGCTCTGTCGTATTTGGGGAATGCTTTCTAAGGTCTAACCTAGATCCCTTTCGCTTTAGTTGACTCACTTTCCACTGCTTTTGCCCTCATCCTTTGAGTTCTTTTTGTCCTTTCTACCTACATTGCAAGCATCTTGGTTTACCCTTCAGCACAGTCCACATTCTTGGAGGGTTGCATCTCTGGGGAGAATGAGGATGCACACTCACATACAACACGGCTAACGAAGGGGCCCGAGCCCTGAGGGGCATGGCATGAGAGAGGAAGCTGGCAGAGTCCATCCAGGAGAGCCCCCAGGCTGGGGCGTGTGTGGAACCCTCGGTGGGAGTCAACGTAACTTACCACGGAGTGAGGGGCATCTTAGCGCAGGTGGGGGTGAGCCAAGGAGAGGGGTGGTGGGTGCTTGTCCTCATGGCTGCCCACCTGAAGCCCCTTGTCTCTGTCTTCCAGATGCCTGTGGCCTGATCCGGTGGCTGCTAATGGTGAACCCCACCCGCCGGGCCACCCTGGAGGATGTAACCAGTCACTGGTGGGTCAACTGGGGCTATGCCACCCGTGTGGGGCAGCAGGAGGCCGTGCACGAGGGAGGGCACTCTGGCGGTGACTCTAGCCGGGCCTCCATGGCCGACTGGCTCCGGCGCTCCTCCCGGCCCCTCCTGGAGAACGGGGCCAAGGTGTGCAGCTTCTTCAAGCAGCACGCGCCGGGGGCGGCCAGCGTGGCCCCCAGCCTGGAGCGCCAGCACTCCCTCAAGAAGTCCCGCAAAGAGAACGCCATGGCCCAGTCCCTCCAGGGGGCCCCGGCTGGTGACACCGCCCCTCGCCCCAGCAAGGACAACCTCAAACTGCCGAAGGGCATCCTCAAGAAGAAGGCCGCTGCCTCCTCGGAACAGGCCGAGGAGGACTCTGAGCTCAGCCCGGCCCCCGCAGGCCCAGAGCAGGCCGCAGCCCCCCTGCTCCCCAAGAAGGGCATCCTCAAGAAGTCCCGCCAGCGGGAGTCCGGGTACTACTCCTCTCCCGAGCCCAGCGATTCTGGGGAGCTCTTGGACGCGGGGGACGTGTTTATGAGCGCGGGGGACTCCGTGGAGCAGAAGCCGGCCCAGGCCTCGGGGCTGCTCCACCACCACCGCAAGGGCATCCTCAAACACAACGGCAGGTTCTCCCACGCGGCCCTGCCGCTCACGGCGCCCGCCACCTTCTGCTCCCTGAACGAACTGGCCTCAGCCTGCCCTCCGCCCAGGGCCAGCCGCCCCTCGGGAGCTGTGAGCGAGGAGAGCATCCTGTCCTCCGAGTCCTTTGACCAGCTGGACCTGCCTGATCGGTTCCCCGGGCCTCTGCTGCGGGGCTGTGTGTCCGTGGACAACCTCACGGGGCTGGAGGAGCCCCCCTCAGAGGGCCCGGGAAGCAGGGGCCTGAGGCGCTGGAGGCAGGACCCCCTGGGGGAGAGCTGCTTTTCCCTGACGGACTGCCAGGAGGTGACGGAGGCCTACCGACAGGCCCTGGGCATCTGCTCAAAGCTCAGCTGAGGGGGGTTGGGGGGGGGCATCACCCCAGCGGATAGGCTCTAAGATGCACCTGGCAACACCCTGAGGGGAGCCCCTTCTCCCCTGCGTCCTAGGAACAGCGTCCCAGCCCAGAAGGCTGAGATGGTTGGCCGTTTAGTCCTGGGGGAGGAACGGATATGGGCAAAACGGGCACGTGAGAGACATTGAGGGTTCGATGTCCTCAGCCCTGTGGAACCAAGAAGATAGTGGAGAGGGGGACAGGGTAGAGAAGTAGAGGGAAGGCCCGTGGCCAAGTCCAAGTTTTCCGACTCCGGTACGCAGCCCCATGGGAAGAGCACATTTTGCAGCAGCCATGTCCTTAATTGCTGTGCATGGTGCCTGCGCCTTGGGAGGGATGGAAACTCTCCCCATCCCCACCCGGCACTAAAACTGGAATATGGAAACTGCTCCTGTGCCTGGGACGTCCTCGGACAGTCTCCTGCGTGTGCCCGTCCTCATTCCTCCAGCAGGGAGAGAGCACACGGCCTGTTTTCCTCAAAGGCTCTCGCCCCTTTCCTGTCCTCCGAGCCTGGCCCAGGCCTCCTGGCGTCGCTGCTATGAATCTGAAAGACTTGAAGAGGCTCCGGCTGCTACTGGACTTCATCTCAAGGGGCCCCGACGCCTCAGGACCCCACCGTGAACCTCAATGGCTCTGTGACCTTCTCTGGCCTCTAAGCTGCTCCGGCTCCTGAGAATGGAGGCGCCTATGTCTCTGGGTTTTCCGGACCCCAGAACGTCCTATTTATGGTTCCAAGCTCTGTATTATTTTTAAAAAGTGGATGTTGCTCTTTTCTATACTGTGAATACTGTGTTCTGGAAATCCCGCCATACGTGTAACGTTTGTTAACAGAGAACTATTTTTGCAGTGATTCCCTACTGATCGTGGGGGAAGAGGGCCCTTTTTTAAATCCGCGTGTTCCGTGGCACTGGCCAGAGGAGGTCTCTGGCTCCCTCGTCCACGCCCTGATTCCGTCTACCTGATGGTCCCTCTTCCCTTCTCCGCGGCCAGGGAAAGAACCGCGCCATTAAAAACCAGAACGGCAACTGAAAACAGCCTCTGTTGTCCTGTGTGGGGAGGTGGGGTGCAGATCTTTGAGCCTTCACACACTCCTGCTGGGAAATAGAGACGCTACTTCATAAAAGCAAGCCAACAACAAGCACCCAGCTGTAGCCCCCAGAAGCTCCTTGAGACCCCTGCATTCCTAGCTCTGCCCTGTTAAACGCAGAGGTGGGGGGGGGGGGCAAGGAGCCCTGGCCTGAAGATCCCAATTTGCTCTTCCCGTCATGGGCACTAAAGGGAGAACTGGGCTTGGCTGATTGTCCAGCCCTGCTCCCAGCCTCTCTGCCTCTCCTTCCACCCCTCTTCCACCCAGTTCTGTCCCCCGCTGCTTGAAGACACCCCCACTGCCTTTATTCCCTCCCCAAAGAATTCCCCGTTGCCCAGTCTGCTCCCACAGCCTGACCCCTAGTGAAATAAAGAATGCTTGGAATGCCCCCCTCGAAGGCTGTCCTTCAACCCCCAGCAGAGCATGCCCAGCCCGCTCTGCTCCTTTGAGAAACTCCAGGGTCCCATGAGGACGGTTGAAAGGGAGAATAAGGACAAAGGGCAGGCAGGCAAGCAGCCCAAAGGCTCCAGCTTTAAGCAGGTTCCCTCCCTATGCCCTACTCCCTACCCCAACACACCCCTGTCCCAGCCAGCTCCAGCTCCCTTTCCTCAGCACACCTGCTCTTCTGGGTTGGAGCCTCAGGATCTTCCCTCCCCTTCTCTGCAAAATGGATGGGTCTGGGGAGTAAGTAAGGAGTCCAGGCAAGTATGGGGCAAGATCCTAGAGCTAACAAGAAATTGCTCGGACTACAATTGGAGTATTTCAATCTGATATCTTCTAGGTACTACTGAGGACTGGAGCTCTGGGCTATAAACTCCAGGTGAACGCCGGGAAAATATAAGGGAGGGTTTTTACTTTCAAGAAGCCTGGCGTTCAGCTGCAGAGTTGGCTGACTCCTTTATTCGTCCAGCTTAGGAATCAGCCCTATTCTCTGCTAAGCTCTGTGGAGACAAAGGTTGTTGCTATATCTCTGGTGCAATGCATAAGATCTTAGCCTCAAGGAGGCTGCTGATTGGACAGCAATGTGGCATGTGTAAAAATGAGTAAAATTCGGACTTCTGGTCAAGAGGGTGGTGTAGGTAAATGTGATATTCGCCTTCTCCCATAACCACATCAAAATTACAACTAAACTACAGAACAAACCATCTTTCAGAACTGCCTGAAACCTGGCTGAATCCAAGTCTGACAACTAGGGAATTAAAGAAGAAACCACACTAAGACTGGTAGGAGGATGGAGAACAGGATGGGCTGGTCCCACACCCATGTGTGATGGATAAAAATTGAGGAACGAGAGGTTCCAGCCCCACATCAGGCCCCCAAGTCCTGGGTTCCAATACCAGGAAGAGGAGTCCGCATAACTTCTGGCTATAAAACCCAGCAAGGATTGTGAGACGGAGGACATTTGGAGTCCCAGGCATTTTCTCTTAAAGGGCCTACACACAGACTTACTCAGACTCCCTCCCCCTGAGCTCCAGCACCGGGGTAGCAACTCAAAAGGCACTAGGAACATATAGGGAGGAACTGGATTGTCTGGCATCAGGGGGAGAGCTGGAGGGGAGCATCTTTCTGCCGACTAAAGTGCTGGCAGAGGCCATTTTTTCTTTCTAGAGCCAGCAGGTAGGCTCCTATTTGAGTCTCCATCAACCTGGATCACACTGTTTCACTCTGCCTTGGTGGTTCCCAGAGAACCTGCCTCACCCAACTTCGGTGCCCACCAGTGGCTTTTCAATACAAATGGCCTGTCTTGGCTTATGCTTCAGGCTTTCCTAAAATCTCTCAAACAAGCAGCATCCAGCCTCAGTGTTCCCTATACCTCTCACTAAGTGGCCCCAGGCCTGGCACTAGCAGCAGCCAACCTTGGTTCACAGCCTTGAGCCTCACCTGAACACCTTCAAGGTGGCCCCAGGCAGAACACAGGCAGCAGCTGACTTTGGCTTACACCTTCCAGGAGGCCCAAGAACCAGGGCACTTGGTGGGCAGCTTAGAGTATCATCCAATCATCTCTGCAAGTGACATATTCAGGGGCAGACTCAGTGGGCACCAGAGCCCAGCTCTGTGGAGTGGGCCCCTGCACAGTTGATTCTCCTCAGAGGTTGGTGGTCAGAGGTTGCAGCCCGTCTTTGCAGCTGATTAGCCCCGGGGGTAAATCCCTCCCCCTAACATGCCAACATTAATAAACACTCAACTACAATAGGAGGGTTTACACAGCTCACATGGAGTAGGAGGAGGGATATATCTGGAGTGCCCAGGGAGGCTATACACTACAAGACACCTATTACATTAAACCACTTTGCTAAGTCTGGGAGACGTAGCAGCTCTACCTAATACCTAGAAACAAACACAGGGAGGCAGCTAAAATGAGGAGAAAAGGAACATGACCCAGATGAAAGGCCAGAACAAAAGTCCAGAAAAAGAATTAAACAGATTGGAGACAAGCAATCTATTAGATGCAGAGTTTAAAACACTGGTTACTAGGATGCTCAGTGAACTTAGTTCTCAATGATGTGAGAACTTCAACAGCATAGTAAAGGACATGGAAACCATAAAACAGAACCAGGCAGAAATGAAGGATACATTAATTGAAATAAAGAATAATTTACAGGGAATCAACATTAGAGTAGATGAAGCCAATAATGAGATCAGCAATTTGGAATATAAGGAAGCAAAAACTACCCAAAAAGAAAAAAGAGCCGAAGCCGGTTTGGCTCAGTGGTAGAGCGTCGGTCTGCGGACTGAAAGGTCCCAGGTTCGATTCCAGTCAAGGGCATGTACCTTGGTTGCGGGCACATCCAGGTAGGGGGAGGGGGTGCAGGAGGCAGCTGGTCGATGTTTCTCTCTCATCGACGTTTTTAGTTCTCTATCTCTCTCCCTTTCTCTCTGTTAAAAATCAATAAAATATATTTTAAAAAAAAGTAAGAAAGAAAAAGAAAAAAGAACCCTCCTCCCCCGCAAAAAGAATGAGGACAGGGTAAGGAGCCTCTGGGACAACTTCAAGCATACCAACATTTGCATCATGGGGTGCTGGAAGAAAAGAGACAGCAAGGAATTAAAAACCTATTTGAAAAGCAATGTCAGAAAATTCCCCTAACCTCATGAAGGAAATAGACAAACAAGTCCAGGAAGCACAGAGAGTTCAAGATGTACCCAAAGAGGCCCACACCAAGATACATCATAATTAAAATGCAAAAGTTTAAAGACAAAGAGAGAATCTTAAAAGCATCAAGAGAAAACCAGTTAATTTCCTACAGGGGAGTTCCCATTAGACTGTCAGCTGATTTCTCAACATTCCCCCAGGTTGTGGGCTTGATCCCCAGTAAGGGGAGTGCAGGAGGCAGCTGATCAATCATTCTCTCTCATCATGGATGTTTCTATTCCTCTCTCCCTCTCCCTTCCTCTCTGAAATCAATAAAAATGTATTTGTATAGTGTCAGATGAGTTCATACTCATCTGACACTATACAAATACATTTTTATTGATTTATCAGCATAATCACTTGTAAGTTGTATAATGTCTAATCACTGTAGTGCACACCTGAATCTAATATAATTTACTAGAGGCCCAGTGCATGAAATTCATGCATGGGTAGGATCCCTAAGCCTGGCCGGTAATCAAGGCCTATTGGGGCCTTCTGGCTGCCAACTGGGGACTCCATTCTGTGCTGCTCCCTGGTGGTCAGCGCACATCATAGCAAGCGATTGAACTCCCAGTCTCCCAGTCGAACTCCTGAGGGGACACTTCGCACATTAGCCTTTTATACCTTTAATTGAAAGATAAAAATGATTTTTAAAAAAATGAGTAAAATTCAACATAGAAATTGTCAGTTCAGAGAATGTGGAAAGAGACTTTGAATGATGGAAAAAAGAACTGAAACCTAGA